CCTCAACTAATTTTGCAAGTAATTGTCTTATTTCTTCATTATTCTTTGCATTTTCTTTTTCTTCTTTTTTAATTTCTTCTTCTCTTTTTATGTTTTCCTCTTCTTTTTTTCTTATGTACTCTTTCAACTCTATAAGTTCATCCCTAACACTAGGTATACTACTACAAGAGTTATGACCATGTACACTAGAGTGATCACTCGTCTTTGATCAAGAAAAAGGTTTTCACAAATATGTTGCAAAAATTTGGCACTAAAAGTTTTTACAAAGAGTGAGTGATAAAAAGTTTTCAAAAAAAGTTTTCAAGGTGTAAGAGTAGTATAAAAAGGCTTAAGTGTACAAAGTGAACTATGAAGGGAGGTGGACTACTAAGAATCACTTAAAAACAAGCCTTTTCAAGTAGAAATCACTAAGTCCTTTCACACTTTTCTTACAAAACAATTTGCGCAAAAGTTAAGTGTGTGTGTGCACGGCCCCCTAATAGGCAACTTGTAGCCTTCTAAAATAAAACAAGTAAGAATAAAGAACCTAAGCAATTATACTACCAAAGCTATAAAGCATGCAATAAGGCAATTAAAGCATGTGCTAGTTGGATTCTCGAGGATGGGAGCTTGAAGTGACCTTGGTGATATTCAAGCCACTCCCACAAGCACTACTCGAATTACCCTAAAGACTACTTAGTGAAAGGCCAATTACTAACCAAATAACGAAAGGAAAACAAAGGCAAAAAATACAAGTGGCCTAAAAGAAATTGTGTAAAAGAGAAATGTAAACAATAAAAGTAGATCTTCTAGTCTTCAATTCTCCACCCCTTCACAAGGAACACCCAAGGTTAGCCTTTCAATGGTGTATTCACTCTTTTTGATGGTAGAACTCCTTCCAAAGGTCTTGGAGTCAAATCGGACAACTCCTCCAATCAATTCACCGAAAATGTATATGATGAGTTTAGGAGCTTTCCACACCTAGATCAAGAAGAAACCACCCAAGAGTACAAGAGTCCAATGAAATAAAAACTAAAAATGCACAATTAGGAAGGCTAAACTCAAGTGGAGATAAATGTGACAAAACTTAGGAGTAGAAAGAAGACACAAAACTAAAATTAAGGCACATTAAGAAAGGCAAGCACTCAAAAGATTAATTCCTATAATGGTACTAGAATTGAGTAGCAAGTGTTTGATAAAATGTTGCACTTGACATGTTAAATTTTAAAATCTCATACAGCCAGTAAAGCATAGTCCAAATGTCCAAAGATTAACTGCAATTGCTAAGGTAGGAAAAATTGTCCAAAAGTCCACAAGTCTAGTAAAGGATCCCTGTTGTTTGCATTTTTTTCCCACTTGTTTTGGCACGGTTTTTCAATGATAATGTCCAGCCACTTTCTTTTTTTTTTAATATTAATATTCCTCCTTTGCTTGGGTTTTAAACTTGTGTTTGTTGATTTTGATTAGCAAATATTTGGAGTATCCTTTTAGCTATTAGTGATGGCTTAATGAGTCAATAATTTGAGTTTCTTTAAGCTTTATGTGCAATAAAGTCCAGCAATAAATTAAGCTCATATAATCACTTTCCAACCTCAAATTATCAAGCAAAACATGTTCATATTAAGTGCAAATGGAAAAGGAAAGCAAGATGGCCGAATTTAGCAATATGTGCAAAGATACAAATCACACATGAATGTTTAAATATCAATGAACATGCTAGGACTAATTAGCATACATGATTGACTCTCTAAAGCGCTCTAAGTCCCACGGCCATTTCAACAAACATATAGCATGCATATCATATTTTGATCATGAAAGTGTCTAGGCATGTGTATTTGAAATTTTCTTTCAAGAAGAGTTAGGGAGAATCATACTCTTATGACAAAACTTAACAGATTATAAAATAAAAACACATGATCATCATTTTTCTTATCATGCAAAAAATTTTCCAGCCACCCAAACTTAAACAAAAATGGACGGATCCTACAAAGAAACCTAGGCACAAAGATGATTCACAAGAAGGTTTATGGCATGAATCAATGAACAAAACAAGACACATAGACCATGAGAATATAACATGAATATGGTCTATTTAGCATAACTTTAAGACAAGCAAGAAAGACATGACATGACTGGATTTTTAAAAGACTCAAAATAGACTAGAGATTACCCTTGAAGAACCATTGGCTCTATATACCACATGATGGCAACCCTCCTTGCATGGATTGAGTTAGGAGCATCAAAGAGGGAAGACCGGACTCCTTGGATCATGGAACTCAAGGTTTCTAGCCTTGGTGATGGAGATGGGCGAATGGTACTCTAGGGTTTTGGCTCACTTCATTGATGGATGAAGGCCACTCCTAAAGGTGAGAACACTCACGGTGAAGATGAGAAGGATAGTTGGCCAAAATGACCAAGGGGACTAAGGAAAGAATATTAAGACTCAAAGGCTCTCTTAATATCATAAATTCCAAAGTATTTACAAGGTTGCTAGCCCAGGGTATTTATAGAAGGGAGGATGCATTTGAGAGTGCTTGGCTCAAAATGCAAGCCAAATGCACTTCAAATGAAACCTAAATTAACCCTAGATGCTACTTGGTGGCCAATGATGGAATCTTTGGGTTTGGTTAAGCTACATCTAGGTGCATGATAAGACCATGCAACCTAGGTACCTCCACTTGGGCCTAAACCTTGCCAAGTCCAAAAATAAATCCAAGGCTACCAAAAAACACGTCTAGGCCTTATTTTCTCACCCTAATAAAATACCTTAGCTATAAAATAAAATCCTATAATCTAAGGCACCCCATAATACAAGGGTAAGATGAGAAATACAAGTAAAAATAAACCCTATAACTAAGACGTCCCAAAATACAAGGGTAAAATAAGAAATACAAGATAAATAAATCTTATGTCGAAGGTACCCAAAATACAAGAGTAAAATAGGAAATTAAAGACAAGGGTAAAATAGGAATAAACCCTATACCAATAAAAAATGTAGGAGCTAAGGCCCAAAAGTAGGCCCACTCTCTTATGATTTTCAAAACTAACTCATTTCTCTTGCCTCCTTCAATATATCACCTCTTGGTCTTCTTGACCTCGGTGTGATTCCATCACCTTTTGTGGGATATTGTCAATCTCCATATCACATGCAAATTTCTAGGTTGTTCGTCTAGTTCATGTCTTCTAGATTGCTCCATGCAAGAGTTATATGCTGACCGAACTTTGTACTCCCCATTTTGACTCCCTCCCCAAATTCTCAAATCACTTGAGTTCATATTATTCAAGAGATCATCCTAAGAATAGTATCAACATATCTAGCCTCCAACAATGCCGTTAACATCCCTTAATTCCAACATCATTCTTCTTTGTGAATGAGATCTATGACATATAATTCAATGACTTCCTCCACAGGTGAAGTTTACACGTATGTACAATCTCTCTCTCGGAGCCATGGTTCACACAATACCTTAACATCTTCTCCATTACCTACTCTCCATCGAATCCCTGTCCTAGCCAATCTTTGGGAACTCCATATGCTTCTTCATGCAAAACTTGTGTTATGGCCTAGCAAAACCACCAAAAAATCCCTCTACAAATAATATTTAGCTTTATAGATTCTTGATACTAAAGCATAGAATTAGAGAGCACCTTTCATCTTTGTTTCTCCAACAATGCCAAGTTAAAACCGTACGTTCCTTGCGCATTGGAAGCTTTTTCCCACTTAACCATCTAATACCACTAGTGTTTTAGTATTTCGTACACCACCAATGAGTTCGACATACGTTGGATTTCATCGGAAAATAACGAAATTAAAAAAGGTTAATATACTTTTATTGTGATTTTCAATATGCTCCTAAGGCCCTAACGTAATATTCATTAATTTCTTAATTAGCAGCGAATAGATAGTGGTAAGTAAGACTTTTTCTTTTAATCTTAAAAAAGACTATTTTTTAAAGACAGAATAAGATATCAAAATGTTAAGTTGAATCTTTTCTCTTACAATTCATTAATAGGTGAATTCATTAAGTATGATACTAAACCCAACCCAGTTTATAACAAAATACATACACCTTATTAACCCTTTTTAGGCGGTAGATCTATATCTATAATAATAAAAAGATTGAACTATTTGGTGTAGATAATTTTTGTTTAATTTTATTTTTATAATTAATTTTTATAAATTATATAAATTATTTATTTAGTTGTGTAAATTTTACTCTATAACTGTTAATATTTTAAATAATTATTTATTATTATATAATTTTTTATTTATTATTTTTAAAAATAATTCACATAGACACATAATACTACTTTTGAACGTTAGTTTATATAATAATAATTATTCCTTCCTATCTTAATTTGTAAACTTAACATAATACTCGAAACAACCACTGAAATAATAAATACAATTTAATAAGTAAGTTTATTAATATAAATAATCATCATTAAATTATTTATTTAACGAAGAAGGACAAAGCAAACTAGGCAAGATATTTATTAAAGAATTTTTTTAAAAAAAAGCTAGCAAAATCAACTGCTGAACGAATGCTTGCGTGTTGCGAGGATGAATCTAACCGCAATAGCGTCCAAGAACCAAGACTGGTAGGAAAATTGCGGTAGATCATTGCCACACGATAAGGTGTTTTTTTTAGAAGATAATCATTGAAATTCGTAATCGTAAGCATTACAATTCCGTTATATTGGAATTTCTAATATTAATTTCTATATATTCTTTAAAAAATATAAAAATATAAAATGTTTCAATCTATTAATATAACTATTAGAAAAAGAATTAAATAATTAAAAACATGAGAATTTAAATTTAATTTTCATAATCATCATATTATAAGACCATATTGTAAATTCACTGATATAAAAATAAAAGCATGACGGGATTGAATTTTATAAGAATAATACACATGAGATCACAAGAGTAGATTGATTTTTATGAGAGAAAAATATTAAAAATGAGGTTTTATGGTTTCAAGGTAATTAGAAGTCAAATGATTACGTCAGCATTAAGGACCTTGATATTTAAGAAACGCACTTCGTGAATCGTGATTGGCGTTGCGCGAGAGAAGAGAGTAGCAGAGAAAAATGGCGTCTTGGAATTCATTTCCGCTCCAAGTTTTCTACGAAGCTCTTGGTTGGTTCGCCTTCGTTTCCTGGTCCATCAGTTTCTACCCTCAAGTAATCTTGAATTTTCGCAGGAAGAGGTTAAACCTTAATTAAACCTTAATTTTCTCATAATCTCCGTAACATGTTTTGTTTTAACCCTCGGTGTTTTAATTTATTTATTTATTTATTTTTGTTTTAATTTAGTGTGGTTGGGCTCAACTTCGATTTCGTGCTTCTGAATTTGACCAAGCACAGTTCCTATCTCATATACAACGCTGCTCTCTACTTCAGCCCTGCTATTCAGAAGCAATACTTTGAAAAATACGGTTACGGACAGGTAAATTGAATCGCTTCTCGGTTAGTTAATTAGCAACGACACCGTTTCTTATTTGCCAAATTTTTGTCTTATGGCATATAGTAAATAGTGTATTATGCATCATCCACAATGTATAATAAGATTTTATGCTATCATTAATTATAAGCTTTCATTGATGATGAATTTGTTGACTTTTATGATAATTATTTTAAAATTTATTCTTACCTACATTGATCTCTTTGTAGTTGTACAATTGTGAATGAGAGTTTGACATTTGATGGGATGAATATATTGAGTAATATATAACCGAGAAAAATTCGTAAATCTAATGTTTTAAGATTTTGATTAAGATGTTGTATCAAGTTTATTTGTGTTGTAAATTCATGGCTCATTGATAGAGTTCTCCTGGTTTTAACTCTCTTTGTATTTTCCAACACTTTGATTGATTGATGGTGTAAAGTTGGTTCATGTTATGAGAACAAATAAGTACTTCTCTTCGTGGAAATGTTAAATACTCTTTTCTTTCGTTTATTTGAAAATGAAAATCTGTCCACATTTTTGATAATTGAAAATTTGGAGTTTTCTTAGAGTTTAAGTAATGTCTGATTTTATGTATGTAAATAAACATTTGGAATTCTCTGATGTAGTTTTAATTTCATTTGTTTCAGATGATACCTGTGGCTGCAAATGATGTTGCTTTCTCGATCCATGCTGTTCTACTGACAGCAATTACGTTGTTCCAGATTGCAATCTATGAAGTGTGAATGATTTGTATTTGTGTTGTTGAGAATGTCATTCGTTTTTGTTCTATGAACTGAATTCTTGATTTTGCTGAACATACTGATTGTTTTGTTGTAGCGTGGGAGTCAGAAAGTGTCTAAAGTTTCTATTGGAATTGTCTCGATTGTTTGGCTTATTGCGGCAGTTTGTTTCTTTATTGCTTTGTCGAATCATTCCTGGCTTTGGCTTCTCTCCATCTTCAAGTATGTTGTTCCTGCTTCTGTGGTTAATTGTTTTTGTTTCACCCTTTTTGGCCTTCAATTTAATTCCATGGAATATATGCACAGATATACTTTGGTTTTATACAAGATGTTATTTGTTTTTCTACTGGAGATTTGTTATTGCTGATTCTTAATCAATTTATGGTACTAATTTACGGAGCTCCAGCATGGTAATTTCTGAGAGCATTCTTGAGTCCATCCTAATTTCTAATTCATCTCGTACTGGCATGCTATTTGCAGTACCGGAGAAAGCTTATAGTGAGATTATCTGGCATATCTTGTACATAATCAATTGGTGTATCAAACAGATTTTTAGTACAGATTTCTAGAGAGATTCTTAGAGATTTTTGGGACAAATTTCTTGAGAGATTTTTATTACAGATTTTGAGATATCACTCATGTATATATATTCGTGTATTTGTGAAGAGATGAATGACAAAACAAGACAATTCTTTTCCAAATTTGAGTTCTTTATGGTATCAGATCTTGGTTAAGGTTCTGAGAATGCCTGTTCAGATATGCTAGACAATCTCATTAGCTTATTTCTCTTTTATCAATAATTAAAGAGATGATGTGCTCAATCTCGGCAACTATTTTCTGTTTACTTTGAATTTAGGTAGGAAGGGGCATATGAAAATGGTGCATTGACTGAGTATTTCTGTTCCAATTTTAGAGCCCTTCTGAACTATTGATCTTAAATATTTCAGCTGCTGAATATTACCCATCATTTGAGAACCATTTATTATTTACTATTTTGTGACCCACTTGATAGTGGACAATTACATTCTTTCCTACGATGGGGTTTCTTACCACTGTCGACTAAGCTTATTGTATTTTGTTAGTGAAAAGCCTAGAATCTTCTTCTGTATCTTGAAATACCACAGATCCACCCTTGCTGTAGTGCTACAGTCTATGTTCTGTGTAATTAGAAAATATCAGGTTGGCTTAGTGTTTTGATGTGATCTAGATTTCTTCTGACTTTTTATTTAACTTCATTATGTTGCAGCACCATTCAAGTAGTTATGACTACTATAAAGTACATTCCTCAGGTTGGGATTTATTTTGTCAATTTTAATTTTGTCTTTCTTTTGTCAGTAGATGGTTATTGACATATCATTTTTCTAAACTAAAATTTCTTAGCAGAAATTAATTTATTGAAATAGTTGTAAATACCAATGAAACTATTTCCACGTTCTTTTCTGGAGTCTTTGGAACCATTAGTACTTAAAATCTAGACCTTTTTGCTTGTGAGTTGTTAGAGAAAAACCAATTTATTAAAAATAGAAACATATAAAAGTCAGATGGAATGAGTAAAGGTCGAATCCAATTCTTTCTGTAAAGTAGTGTTAGTTGAAATTTGTTAGGAAACCAAATTAGAAAAATAGAAATAAGAAAAGAAAGATTTTATTTCTTGATTGCAAAGGAATAGATAATGGAAAAGATAACTCTCCTCCAAAGGTTCCGTTTGCAAAGCATTTCTCTTCTCACAACGAGCTATTTCTCAATTTACAAATGAATAAATATAAATGAATTCCCTCTCCTTCAGTCCTCCTATTTATTTATGTCATTGACTCACTATAGCAAACTAATATTCTAACTAGCTTTCCATTCCCAAAGTCCTAACAAAGCACCATTTTCTCTCTTTGACATTGTTCTAGTTATAGTGATATAAAATTTGGTCTTTAGACATAAACTTCATGTCACAAAAGTGACTGGCTTGGGAGCTAGAAAAGTGAGCTATAATACTATCATAGTCTATTAAATTTCAGTTGAAAACATAACTGATGCAGTTACCTTTAATAGTAAATTCTTAAAACTTAAATTGATTGATATAGAAAGTCTTGTTACTTATGTTCGATTGATGAAGTGGGCCATATTCATCATTTTTTATGAGTTTATTTGCATAATAAATTAAAGTAAATTTTATATCATTATTTTTCTAATTTGTCAATACACCAGGCTTAGTAATTGTTTTGCATCTTCTCACTGTACATTTAATCATGTGTGTATGAATGCAGGCAGTCATGAACTTCCTAAGAAAAAGTACTGATGGCTTCAGTATTGGTAACATTCTACTTGATTTTTCTGGAGGGATAGCAAACTATGGACAGATGGTTGTGCAATCAGTAGATCAAAGTTTGTCATCTACTCACCTCTACTATATATATTTCTTGTCATTTGATTATATATTTTAACATTAGCTTATTTTAAATCCTATCTTTCCAGATTCATGGGTCAACTTCTATGGGAATATAGGAAAAGTGTTGCTATCTCTGGTATGGGAAGCTCTCTTGAGGATTATTTTGCTTGTTTCTCATGGTGTAGTTGTTTCTTACTTTACTTTTCTCGTATGTTTTGCATGCAGTTGTGGTTCTAGCACTGATTCTGGTTTTATTTTCATATCATTATTCTAATCTTAAAATTATACTATGTTTTTTGGTTGAGAAAGTAATTTCTTTTGATATAAGAGCAATGGCATACTACGCAAACTGAGTAGAAGATGCATGTACTACGAATCCATTTTTGCATTTTGCATAGTTCTAGGATGGTGCTTGTGCCTGGTAAATGTTTGTTAATTTGATAAGTCAGACATTGCTGCTTGAGGCTTTTGTGACATTGTTTTTTTTATGTAATACACAACTGCAGGTATCTGTATTCTTTGACATTATTTTCATTATTCAACATTATGTTCTTTATCCTGGTAAAAAATCCTCCAAATCGGTGATCACTACAGAGCAAGAAGATCAAATCAGAGAGCACCTTGTCAGACCTTCTGATCAATCACCATCAGAGAATGTGTAAGACATATTTGTGTCAAAATCAAATTAGGATGCTATTCTTATTCCATACATCAGGGGCACCATTTTGCTGGGAGCTTTAAAAACATTGTATAAGTTTTAAGAATTATAGCCGCCTAGTCTTTTATACTAATTTGTATATTAAATTTATCAAGCTACTGAATTCCATACTGGTGTTTGTGGCTAAAGATCAAATGCATGTAGCCAAATAACTTCACTTAACTATCAATTTTTTAACCTTCCAAAATCAAGTTTTCAAAAATCAATTTCATTTAAATTGATTGATAATATTGACAATATAACAGAGTTATGTAAACTTTCTATACACTCTGTTAATGCATGTCGAATCAAAGGGTACATCTGTTGTAGGGTTAGATGCACGACTTAAATCGAATGTTTTCTGCAGGGGAAGTATAAATAACTTTTCTGCCAGTAAATTCTACGAATGAAATGCAAGCATGCATTCTCAATTTTGCTGGATGTTTATTATCCTAAACCTAAATTATAAGGATAACATTTATCTAAATAATATCCCAAAAATTTCAAACATAACAAAATTTCTAAAAGCTAAATTATTCTTTTTCGAACTAAGATATTTAGGTGTATTATCAATACTCTTTTGACTCAATATTTTTAGACTTCTAACTTGAATTTCAAGTTTGAAATGACTTTATTCTTTTTGATGTTTGTTTGTTTTTGTTTTTGTTTTTTTTTTGTTTTTTGTTTTTTTTCAATTTCACTTATTGTAAATCTTATCAACATTTTCTTGAGGGGAAGCACCTCGACTTTTGACTTGAGTATTTCCTTATACTCATATATCGTTATGGTCAGATTTCAACTTTTGTTTCTCGAACGCTTCATGCTAGCAATATTGAACTTTTGATAGATCTCAGATGATTTTTTTATTTATTTAAAACACCTGCATCTAGGTGTTCTTTATTTGATTTTGATCTTTTTATATATTCACCTCTTCTATTATTAAATCTAATGCATTGCCCGGCTTGCATATGAACTTTGATCAATTATATGTTGTTTATAGTTTTAATACATAATTTTCATCTTCAAATTTAACTACTTTTCAACAATTGAGCAACACTTAAATTTTTTATTTATTAATTTCATAGGTATATAAAACATCTTATATTAATTTCAAACTTGAGTTACTTCTACTTGGGATTGTTTTTATTCCTATTACTACAAGGTGTGCTTCATTTCGAACTTTGACTTTGAAAATAACAATTTCATTGAGCTCTTTGAAGACCTCTTTGTCATAAATCATATAGGGGAAAACGTGACGACTGAAAGCTCTACTAGGGTTTCGGTTTCAACCACGAAAGAAGACAATCTTCTAAATTGTAGTACAAAAAAGGTAAACAAAAGAAAGGACGATCATTAAGAGGATGCAATAATAACTAAAAGAGAATTCGTCCTCCCTCTGATATACCTGCACCCGTGTCATCATATGAAGATAAAACTATTGGTGGAAGAGAACACGACGTTAGAAAACTTCCATTACTATGTGAAGGATTTCATTTTGCTTGAAGATCTTATATACGAGGAAGATATGCAGCAAACTAATGCGGAGGGGCTGAACTCTTGTCGAAGAATGCATGTTAGTAAGGAATAATTCGAAGAATGGTGCGAACCTGGGAAAAACTTCCTCATTGTTAACGTCATGGGTAGTGAGCTTCAAGATGATTGAAAATCTTTTAGAATCATTGATATGCCCAAGATTTAAAAATAAAGTTCTAAAGATCTAAACATGGCAAACAATTAAAACAAACACGTTCAAATCATTTTAAAAATTGCAAAAATTAAAGAATCATCTTCCAACCATTGGATAAGCATATAATATTTAAAATTTATTATACTTAATTTCCAATATGCAATGAGAATTTTTGTAATCCTTTAAAATTGCAAAAACTAAAGAACCAACTTTTATCCATTAAATAAGCATATAATATTCAAAACTTCCGGCTATGGATAAACATATAATATTCAAAACTTATTATACTTAATTTCCAATATGCTATGAGAATTTTTGTAATCCTTTTATACAATCATTTAATAACATGTACATGTAGATGACGTGACTTCATTACTGGTGGGATCCAAACTTGTGCCCTGACAATTATATCTCAAATGAATTAACCACTACACCAAGCACTTCATCTAGTATGTGTGATACAATTAAAATATAAAACATTATGTTTGTCAATAGCAGACAAAAATGAAACGTGAAAACACAATGGGTTTCACTCGTCTTTCCACCTTGAGATAGGTCTATTGGACATGTTTATAACCCGTGAACCCGAAATGAAAACTCAACTATTTTGCCATGTTTTGAACACTGAAAAACACCATTTTTAATTACAGAAACCTTAGAAAAATCATCCTCTTCTTTTTCTCCAGTTTTAAAACAATTATGGGGTTAAAACTAGATACCCAAAAATACCCAGAACAAACACAAGGCAGAAGATTAACATAGCTCTGATACCAAATGTAAAAATAAGGTTCTAAAGATCTAAACATAACAAACAATTAAAATAAACACGTTCAGATCATTTTAAAAATTACGGAAACTAAAGAACCAACCTCCAACCATTGTTGTTTGCTTGTTTGCTTTTAGTTTTCGAACCCTTGCTCTCAATACACAATGATATTATATGCTGAAGAGGAGAGTAGGCTCAGTGACCAAAAACAAAAATATGTGTCCAATTTAATTTATAGAACTCTAATCTATCACAGAGTCTCTTTTGAATATTAGAGAAATATGCGGGAATCATGGTACCATATTCACAAATTATTTGATAATAGGTTGAATCAACATCAATAATGGACCACATTCAGAATGTGTTAACTGCTTAATAGAAGAGAAAAATCAGGAGTGCATACATGAAAATCAGAAGCACGATACTTCCATTTTTGCTATTGTTGCAAAAACCATTTTAAAAACAATGTATATGCCAACATAAGATTATTATCTAGTGCAACTCTTCGATGTAGATGATTAACCCCTGGTGCAACATTGGAGACCGTTCTTTACAACATTGGGTCTTGTACTCAATTTGGAATACGAAAGTTTGCATTAGATATGCTTCCAATGTGGACATTATGGACATAAACAATCCCAATGTGGGGATGGAGGACTAGCCCATGAGTAGGTAAAGAAAATTACTGTAGAAGAGGAACATGCAGATATTGAAGTGCATGATGACCATATTTCATCTAGCCATGCATATGAAAAGCCAAACCTAATCCCCTAGATCCTGTAAATTTGCACTCCAAATAGTCAAAGCCCGAAGAGGGCAGTTAGGATCCATGGATGATTGTAAAGAAAGGACCAAAAGAAAAGTTGTTAAACCCAAACTAGTGGCCCTTAGATGGAACATCCACTACTAGAAAAGTGTCATTTTTCTACGAATTTTCTAGCAAAAAAATATTCGCAAAAATTTTTTGTGAATTTTCTTGCAAAAGAAATATTTGCAGAAATTTTTTGCGAATTTATTTGTAAAAAAGAATTTACAGATATTTCTTACAAATTTTGCTACAATTTTAATAATCATATAAATTTTTTTCCACGGTAAAAATTTGCACAAAATATTGTAAGAATTTTATTTTTTTTTCTTGCAGATTTTCTTGTAAAAATAAAATCGTAAAAAATGTTTACTAAATGGTAGAAAAATTTTGCAGGTAACTTTTCCTGCGAATTTTTCTACAAATTTTAATCCGTAGGAAAAATAAAAAAAGATATTTAAATTTATAAGCTTAATATTTAAAAAAACTTTAAGTCTCACATCGATTGAAAATAAAATAATTAAAGAGTATATAAGTTGGGGCAACACTTACCTTACAAGTTGATTTGTATGATTGAGTGTTAGACTTATAATCTACAATCTTAGAATTTAAAAGATTATGTATTACATGTTGAAAACATGGAAATAAATGCTTCGGATGAATTCATTGTGAGCATTTGAAAGTTGAAGAATTATTGATAGAATTTATAGTAATTTCTTTAATTTTTTTTAAAAAAAATATTTCTGCAGAATTTCTTGAGAAAAAAATTCGCAGGAAAATTTCCTGTGAATTTTAAAATTTGCAAAAATATAATATCCACGAAGGTATTACCTGCAGATAAAATTTTGCAAAAAAATTTGTAAGAATAAAAGAAGTTCTAGTAGTGATCACCCAAGAGTCAAAGAAAAAGAGACCTTCTTGAGAATGTTAGAGGCTCACGTTTTGTCTCCTTAAAGAATAATCATGATGCGATTAAAGGGTCTCACACAGGTCTAGGGACTAACACGAAAAATTTGGAAGCACCTAAGATCCCTAAGCAAGTTTGAAGTCAGAAATTTAATTGGTGGAAAAAATCCACAAGGGACCATGTGGAAAAGATCCAAAATCAGGTGGAAAAATTGGACCCAAAAGTCGCAATAGTGTGATAAGAGAAAGGCTCACCGATACGCAAGGTTCGAAGATACAAGTGGAACATCCAATTATCGAGTAGGCCAGTTGATCTAGGGGTAGCTTTAATAACTCCTTTGAGGAGATTTGGGCCATGCAATGCTTGCATGCAAAATAATACTATGTCATTAGAAATGATTGGAGATCTATGCACTTATGTTACATTGCCTAATTTTGAAACTAGAGCGTTTGTGAAATCAATGAGGCAATTCCTCACAAAGAATGAATTTAAGGACCCCATAAAAAACAAAACCCCAAGTAAGGATGCTATGATAATTGTAACATTCTAAATTTTCAGTTATGAACTCTTATTCTTTATAAATAAAATTATTATCTTTAGTTAAATTTTATATAGTATGAGATGATTTTTTTTTATAGTATTAGTATTCAGTTGAATTTCTATTTTCTTGTCTATATATATACATATATTATAATGGTATATATATATATATATAAATATATATATATATTATAATGGTGCATATATATATATATATATATATATATTATAATATGTTAAGTTAGACGAAGTAATTCCTAATAAGGTTTTGAATGAGACAAATATAATGCATATTGTTATTTCTAACAAATGTGTTAGTGTTTCAGATAAAAACATAAGTACAGGCAAGCTGAAGAATATACGTGTATCACCTTCTACACCATAACAAAGAAATATGAGCTAAGTATCAGATAAAGGTTGATCAAAAGAAAGAAATACATCAGACAAAGATACTCACAAACACAATACTAAATAAAAGGACAGAGCACGAGCAACCA